CGATTAGTCAACAAGATAACTGGCGTTAATCCTCTCTAGTAACGTGTGAATCTTACTGATATTACAAATCAAAATGAATATCCAAAAGCAGGCATTCTGATGTCACAAGCAGCCTTGTTGCACCCAGATATGGAAGATAAAATTATCCAAGTGGATGGCTATTGTCCTCCTAGGTCTCCCCCCCCCCTCCGGTCTGGAACGTCCCAGGGTGATGGAAACGGTGTCATTTCTGAAATCAACCAGAGTTAACATTGCTAGCGATCTGTGCTGCTTACTTACTTAAATCACGCCCACTTGCCAGTTGAGGAAATTTAAACCAAGATTTTTAGTAGTTTTAATACTGTTTTCATTACAAACGTATACATGGCTTTTGATGCTCAAACATCAGCGCTGAACACTTTGCAGACTACCTATCCATGACTTGACTACTAAAAATTAAATGCTCACTCTGTGTTACTTCTGGAGACTTTAATAAAAACGATACGGTATTCATTATCACACTCCGTGTGATTGAAAGAGTATCGAAGAAAGAGAGTCACAGGTGAAGACGTTCGGAAAGGTTAATGACGCGTAAGCGAGGCTGCACATGAAATATACCATCCAAACTTTGTAGCCCTGGCGGAAGCGACATCCCACCGCGCTCAAGACTGCACAACGTAGGGTATCAAAGAATGTTGGGAACAAGTTTCATCTTCCTTGCCAACTTCGGCTGAAAACTGTAAAAATATCCAATAGACGTTATGGGCATCTGCTGGGCGACATCATCATGGTGTACCAAATCCCGAAAACTACTATTGTGGACAGCAGCTTATGAAACCCAGCAAAACAAATTTTTGAGGAGTTATCCATTTAGGCTGCATAAGCAGCACTGCTGACCAGATTTTGATAAACATTTTCTACCCCTTGACTGTCGCAGCTCCTGAACCTCATCGCAGCGCACGTAACTAATGCTCCAGCTCCTCTCTATTCAATGACACACTGACACATTTCCATTCGGTGACATGGCCCAAGGATATTTGTGCAAAACAAACGGCCTACTCATCAGAAGCACCTTATCGCCAAGCAGATAATGACATTCGTGCCACTGCAAACCTCTGGATGAGTTTAGCAGTATGAGACTCGTTTTATCGACAAGGTTTTTTCATCATGTAAATTTTACCCTATCCATCCTACTGGACTTATCAAACAGTTACGTTTTTACCCATTACAAACCATTATTCCCTTGCTCCGAACCATGTCCGTCCTCCCGACCAATCCAGAAGCACAACTAAAGTTCGTCACCGTGAACTAAGCACAGATCATTCCTGCATTAAATTGAACCCCACTCTGTATGCCTGAGCGCCGTGTCATAAAAGTGTACTCGCTGGTGTACATATAACAGACAAAACCCTGTTTAATGGGCAAATGAGTCCTTGAAGATTAGCGAATGGCGACATTGCTCAGCGCACAATTTCATGAGGCTCAAGATAGCTTCTGCTTCCCTTGATTGTACAGTTTTCAAGAACGATTACCTGTTGTGAGTACCTCACAGACTAATTTAGATTTTGCTTTATGTTTGCTGTCTAGCTGAAGCCATTTGCTTAGAAGCAGACCGATTCTCCTCACCATCAGTTAAAAAACTTAGAAAGAACAACACGTGCCTATATTAATGCAAAATGCCTGCCCTGGTAAAACCATTATTAGCAACAAAATTAGGAGTTTACAATGGAAATATCTGTGCACAGAAGCCATCTTATGCAGCCACGAATGTCGGCTTCACTGCAGGATTTTGGAGCAGCTATGCAACAAAAGTTCCAGTAGACAACTCTGTGTTGCAGGTGTGGAGGACCTCAATTCAGTGTTCTGTTCTTCCCTACAGTGTATATTTGCTTCGCCGTCATTCTACGACACAAATCAATAAAGTTACGTTGTAATACTTCAAAATTTACAGGGAAATTAAGAAATCGCATTTAAGGGAGGCGAATGAACTTTATGCTCCATGGACAGTTGTTATGAAAAACTGCGACAACTCTCTTACCACGTCATTGACAGAGCTATTTCACCACCATTTAAATTTCGTCGCCATTCCCGATATTTAGAGACCTGTACCTAGTAAGGACCCCAGAAATTTCGTCCGATTGACTGTGCGTCTGTGAAACTGAATCTTTTAGTCTTTTTTTGGTGTTCTACAAGCGCTCGCATCAATGGTGCATTGCACTTATGTTATAAACCCCTACCTTCCTTACTGGAATCTGTAGCATAGTATGTTCATCTAATGTCACCTGGGTTGGACTCAAATCCAAGTCTGTGTGCCTCATGTTCCTTGGTTGTTCTACCATGATGGACTTCATTGTTACGAGGCAGTTTAGCGCGTGGTAACTTCCCCTTAAATAATCTGGAGAATTTTATCCACGACCAAAACAATTCTGTAGCAAATACCATTTATGTTTTATACACGCCATCTCAGTTTAAGGGCATAGTTTTCTTGCACTACATCCGATCATAACTATAGCATCCCATCTTTCGATAAGCAACATCACGCGAAAAGTTTCGCCTGAGGAACATGCGTATGTGCCCTATTTTTCCCCTTTCGTTTGCAAATTTAAAGTTATACCGTGCTTCATTACATCTAGAATGTCAGTATAAAGTGATGGAACTGTACCCATTCGACTGCCTAAAGCCAACGCTAACTTAACTTGATTGTTACCACGGAACCCACGTTATTTCCCACGTTTGCAGCAATAGCCCAAGTCACCCAAGGGTGATTGACAGCGATGCTCAATGCGATCAGGTTAATAGCTGTGATTTGGCACGACCATTATTCTTTCCAAACGACTACATGTTCATGGTGACAACTTTTAATGGGGGGAATCAAACGACTTCAACAGCCTGGCTGTTGAGGCAGAACATTAGCCAGGTTAGTTAAGTAGTACTTTGTGACCGGGTAAACGAATCAGTGTATATATTCGTGCCCCCATAGAAGTTATTTTTATGTACTCATGGGTAAGGCATTTTTAACGTGATTAACCGTGAGTTTGTCGAAGAAGCTTTTATATCAGATAGTCCCCATATGCTCGGAAATGCATTAGACTGCAGTTTCGACTTTCTACGCCTTGTTAGTAGTGCACATCCATCCGATCCATCGGGGTTCAAGTCCATGAGCACTAGAAGCTCGAAATGTCGGTCAGCAGCTTATGTCGCTGGGATATAAGGGAAAGTGACATGTCGTTGTAATTTACAAGCCAACTGTGATATAGCGCGTCTTTTATTCCCCAACTGTGCAAGTTACGAAGTTCGCATAAGATAGGGTTAGCACCGAAAGACACGACGTCCACTGACAGTAGCTTTGTATGATATGAGACTTAGAGGCTGTCTTGGGTTCGGATCCCGATGCAGCCGATGGATACACACTACTGATGAGGGCCAACCGGTTGAAACGGCCGCCTGGTATATTACAGAAGCATGTGGAGAACTAATGGTTTGGAATCGGTGGCGATGAAGTTTCAATTACCGTATATTACCGAATATAAGCTCATCCATGGATAGGCCGACAGTATGACTTTGCAATATCAAATTTGTCCAAACTCATAGGTCTATGTATTAGCCGATCACCAAAGTATCTACTGGTTAGTGCTTTTCTGTCATGTGCTTTCCCATGTTACTGAGTGTGGTGTTTGATTCTGTATATTCCCGTAGGTTTCTGCTACTGTCATCCGTCGCAAACGTCAAATGTGTAATATACCGAGAATTTTCGCCATAAAAATAACGTGTAAAGTTATAAGCACACTTCCCACAGAGCTGCGTGGATATGGTACAAACAATGATTCACTTCAAATCCTCGTCTGGAATACCGTCCGTCACTAGCGGGTGGTGGTAAGGGAAGATGGGGGCAGAGGTGTGTAATGAATTCCCGGGTGGGTTTTGTACGTGACTTCAAATTATGTATAACCTTTTTATAAGCCGACCGCCCGCTAAAAAAATGAAATAGTGTTCAAAAGTCGTCGGCTTGTATTCGGTAACCTATGGCAATCTATAGTCTATCGGAGTTGAAGGCTAGAGTTCCTTCTGTGGCGCCGCATCAGCTTCAGTTTCCGTTGAAACAAGTAATTACTTTTTCTTCGTTTATTGTTCGCACACGGTACGAATGTCTAATTTGCTTCTTCGAGACGTATGATTTCATAGTACGCTCATGGATAGCGACTTTTCTACGCCACCTACCTTAAACTAACTAGCCATTCTCATCTTCGTCACCACGATTTTCGCTGGGTACAGTCATGGAACAATTAATTCGGTAGACGTTAGTTTGCAGTAGATGTTCAGTGGTCAGCATAGGGTGACTTTGCTTCGCTTTTTTGAAACAAGATAACGATAGATATAGATGGATAGATAGACAGGTAGCGATATATACTATATATATATATATATTTGTATATATATATATATATATATATATATATATATTCACAGTCTGTTAACAGACGTTGTGCCGTCATAACCATGGCAGAAAAATGGGGGAAAATAAGCACGAAATGCGATAATAAAAATGGAAAACAATTTTTTGTTTTGCAGACGCCATTTTGAATCTTTTATAGTTGTTTCGTGAGTTTTGTGTGCATTAAAGGAGGGATAAGATGTCAGAACAGCATTGACGCCAATGATGTATGTTGCGGGCCATGATATAAGCTAAGGAATAAAGTAGAATAGCCTGAAAGAGTGTAGTGGCACTTTTGATTTAAAGGCCTTCGCTTGAGTTCGTTCATGGTTTACAGGGATATATATATCATTATTGGTTAGAATGGTTTTGAGATGGGCTAAATGTGGAATAGCAGCTGTAGGTAGAAACCCAATTGGGGTGTACTTTAATCATGATCATGTCGCACGTGACATGAGTGCTTTGTCTGTTGGTGATGTGTGCCCAAGGAAACGTCACTTCACTTCGTTACATTTGTCACAAGCGGAACAAAGGAGTCGTGGTGGATGTCACATTGGTTGTTGGTGGTTATCAGAAATGTTTCGCTTACCTTCAGACCCGTCAATTAAAATGGTGATCAAGTTAATCACAACCATAAAGCCATAAAATCCAGGAAGTACATTCACTGCTCGCTCCAAGGATTCCTCCTGAAGTAATAGATGGTAAAAGAAAAAGCCACATTAATGAATGATGGGCAGAAAAATTGTTTGTCTGAATGAGTACCAATTGTTAAAAGAGGCAAGGGATTATGACATGTGTGAGACCAAACGAAGGAGGTTTTGTATGTGGAAGCTGTGGAATGGATACAAGGCGTAGGTTTCCCAACCAACTTGATGAAGCTATTGAATAATTCAACAAATATGTTTCGAGTCAAATCTCTGCTGACTGTGTACATTAAAGTCTCCTTGTAGCTTCTCGGTTGTGTAGTGCACATGAATCATTCACGCTTTCGGTATTTTGAGACATGGGATTTAATTCATATTTATTTCTTCCGATAGTCCATTTGTTTAACTGGATGTTCATACCGCCCACATGCTCTCCTTGTGAGTCACGCTGCCTCTGCTTACCTGCCCACCGTTCTTTGCAACCTTTGTCAATACGCATTAGGTCCAGACGATGTAACTGTTTTCCCGACTTCCGTACTTGACACACCTCTTATTTGTTAGTACTTGCGATTAGCATCTGAGTAGCACGCCACAAGTGGTGACCCCGACTGCGTGCCCGGTTACGAATTCGCAGAAATAATTTTCGGTGAGCTCGTTCCTTTCCTTTTCTGAATTGCCGTTTTGCTCCTATTAATTTGTGATATTCTATGGCTCATTCAGATAATAATATTTCCGGCTTAGCTATTAGTGTTGCGATCACTGTCCGTCCCCATATTCTATCTAATGACCCTTCCTTTTGATTCACCATTTTAGAGCATGGGTTTTTGCAGCACAACATTATTTCCGACCAAGCTAAATGTATTCATGTGCTAGGTAACCTTTCTAGCGACTTCAGTTTACAGCTCGGAAATACTCTTTCGAACCAAAATACAGACCTTCCATATGAGCCTCTTGAGCAGGAGATTGTAATCCAACTAGAACATTCAGAGAGTACGCGAATCGAATAGCCATTCCATGGCTTGCGCCAAGGAGATACAAGACCATCCGGCCTATTGAGTGCAATGAAGAGACCCCTCGGCTCGCATTCCATGGATGACTCTGTTCTTCTGGAGCTTTGCCTGCAGCACCTACCCGAAAGAGCGGAAGCTATCGTCAAATCCGATAAAGTCACTTCCTTCACTCTATCCGCGCAACTGACAGATGCTGTCATCGATCATCTTCCTAAGGAAGTAGAATGCGCAACACCTCCCGCTACACATTCACTGAATAATCTTAAAGGGTCTCAGCAGCCATTTACTTCATACAGGTTTCATGCAACCCCCCCCCCGTCTGAGCTTAATGTAGTATTTAATGGATTAGAGGAATAACGCAGAACTCTCAATTCCCTTCAGCACTCGATAATACACCAGTACCTAAGTGAAAGTCGGCCTAGCCCAGCAGCCTGTTACGCAACAAATTTTGCTGGTATCACCGCAGCTTTGGCCCTCAGGCGAAGCGGTGTTCTAGGCTTTGCACCTTCCAATCGACTACATCGTGGAAACTACCAAGTCCCAAATCACGTACCAATAATGTCACCGGCCACATCTCCGGAAGTAGCCTAATTTACGATCAAGATTGAAAATCTGAAACCGCTTTCCTGGTTGATACCGGAGCTGAATCAAGCGTAGGTTCTTCCGCACCTGGTGAGGAGATTCAGCTGTTCACTCTCAATTTTCGTGGTGCCAACGGTACACTCATCCCTACTTACAGCCAGCGCTCTTTAACCAACAACTTAGGTCCCTATAGAGCATTGCACCGCGTGTTCATTATTATCGCTTTTCCGTTTACGATCATCGGCAGAGACTTCCTCAAACATTTAGACCTCTTGATCGATGCGAAACAAATGAGGGTAGTCAACCCCACAACCACACTAAGTGTGCATGGCCCAAACTCCGGCAACTCAGTCATCACCCCAGTCTACGTTGGCCCACAGACCTCTCTCCACAATGCCGAACTTTTCTCTCACGAACCTGATCACGTTCATCCAATGAATGAAGCTCCGCTCGTGGCAACTCAAGTCACGCATTATTTCCGGATAAACTGCCTACACGCTTCAGCACATCCGCGCCGACTTTCGCCGGAGTAGCTCAAAATATCTATGGAGGAGTTTAGGCTCATGTTCCGAATTGGGATAATCCGTCCTTCAGATAATCCTTGGTCCTCTCCACTCAGTGGCATGGGGGTGGAGGCGGTCCGACAAGTGAAGCATGTAAAGGGGGTGCCGTTATATATACCGTCGAATATTCGAAACCACATATAAAGTGCAAATATCAGGATAAACTGAGGGTCGCGTATTTTAGTGTTATTTGCATGAGCAACAACACCACCGCGTCACGTCTAACAGCTGCCCAAACGTTTTCACAGCGCTCCAGGACCTGTCCCATTGTAGCCATTTATCAACACATTTAACTCAGTGTCCTATATTAGCAACCCTTTCACCGAAAATAAAAGCCCCATTGAGAATATGAGGCCGAAAACTGTATCTTCGCACGGGAAAATGCCTGCACAAACACACTTATTATTTGTATACGCGTCCAGAACCTCTACTACAAGGGGATAGAATATATGAATGCTTTGTTTCCGGCGAACGACAAATGGTGTGTAGACAGTCAAGCCATATTCCTGCCGGAAAGAGTTCCTTTTGTTAGGAAACATGTGCGCACGTTAAGTAAGCCGACCCCTAAGGTCAGGCCAGGCCACACGAGAAGGTTACTGCGGACTTGAGTTCGAAACTTAAATCTAAGTTGTGAGGACATACGAATGCTGGAATAGGTTAACGAGCTGCGGATTTTAAGTTATACACCTGGTCTATGGACAGATAGGTCATATTCCCGTCGGAGAGTGGTTCCGTTTGCCAGATAAACAAACGCGCATCTTAAGCTAGACGACCGCTGTGGTTTGGAGAAAGTGTAACCAAGATGCATGCAAATGATCGATAGTTTTTATGGCTGCCCGATCAATATTTGGTTGGCCAGGCCAAACGAGGTCACTGCGAAGGAAAGTTCCTGTTTTACAACAGTGTCTCAGTCATGGATCACGGTGATGTACGTTCGTCGGCGATTTGTCTGCAACCGGGATTACAATAAGTGGCTGTTGATCGGCGTTTGCTGGTTTTTCCGTTGTATGATCAGTGCGGTTTAAACGCTAGAAACTGCGCAACGATACGACAACATAAACGCAGCAATGCAGGCCGTAACTGGCCGGTAAGTGCTGTAACTGGCGCAAAGTTCGAAAAATCTGGTAGTGTTTGTAACGCCAGAAAAACTGGTCGGCCTCGTACCACTATGGATGAGTTTTCGACTTGCCATGTTGTCCGGGAATTAACCGAAAATTCCGATCTCAGCGTCAATATGATCACCCAGAATTGTGACACCACCACCATTTCCGCTGTCAAGCAGATTTTGAAGAATATAAAATTTCGTCGGCATGATGAAGTTCAAGTGCAAGTTTTGAATCCAAGTGATTTGGAGAAATGGCAGACATTTCGCTGCTGGTTCTTGGAGCACATGGGTATTCATTCCATGATTTTTACCGATGAAACAGTCATGCATTTGGGGAAGAGTGAAGCGGTATTCTTGGGTGTTATCTAATCCAAGACCTTATCGAGCTTTACGTACGCAACATAGTTCAAAGGTCATGATTTCGGCTGTAATAACTGGTCGAAAAATGTTGGACCCAATTTTCTTTTCAAAGAATGTGATCGGTTGGTTGTTTTTTACGCAGTACTAATGTCATGCTTTTTATAGCATGGTACTACAAGGAAATTCTGCAGAGCTGCGTATTTCCGTAGTTGGAGGCCGGTAGGATGTACAGTAACACTTAGTGACAACTTGATGGCGCACCTACACAATATGCCCAAACGGTACGGGATGATCTGAGTGGGATTTACGGCAACCGTTGGGTTGGTTGGGGCGGACGAACACGGTGGCCTGCCCGGTCACCCAATTTGAACCCCTTGGGTATTTTCTACTGTAGCCATTCAAAATGAAGAGTTTATAAAAAAAGGTCAAATTCATTGAAATAATTGAAAGAAAACCTCGTGAACAAATTTCGTTCCATCACCGTGAATACATTTGAGAGAGAGAGAGTTATTGTCAACTGTCTTAAGCGATTTCTGTACTACAAGCAGAACGTCGGTGGTCATTTTGAATACCTACTGTGTTGAGGTTTATATCATCGTTTAACACCGTCCATTTAGATATACGCATCCAACCACACGTGTTCATCGTCTTTCGGAACTCAGCCAAACAATAGGATTGGATGGACGGCTGCACTTTACTGAACAAGATGATAACGCGAGCAGAGGCTACGCGCTTGCGTAAGCATTTTGTGTTTATTGGCTTAGAGCCAAGGTGGCATTGGATGCGTACTATAGATCTGTAACTTACCAGTGACATAATTGAAGAAGAAAAACGGTCCCTCAAATTTCTGACTAGTTAGCTCATCAAAAGAACTTCGCACTTCATTTAAGAAGTGAAATTGGGTATCGGCGGATAGTAGGTTTAAGCCAAGAATGCGACTTCTAGGTTGCATAAAAAAGAATTCACTCTTGCTACGAACCTTCCTGTGTAACAATGAGCCAAAGGCTCCTGACGGAGTCCCTCAAGCAAACCTCCGAAGCACATCGCCACCTGGCGAGCGATTGCTCACCAATACAATCAAATGCCTGCGCAAAGCATTCAGCATCGGGCGCTGGAACGTGCGCACACTACTGGGCCGGAACTCCAGCGAGCGCCGCGAGCGACGCACTACACTAGTCGCGATGGAACTGGCACGCTACCACATCGATATTGCGGCGCTCAGTGAAACTCGGCTCGCTGAGCAAGATAAGTTGCATGAAGTAGGTACTGGTTACACATTTTAATGGGTGGACAACACCACCTCAGCACCACTTGAACATGGGGTCGGATTAGAAATATCCGATCGCCTCCATAGCCAGCTAGTGGGTAAAGCAACAAGCATCAGCGCACGACTGATAACTGTTCGCTTACTACTGGGAGGAG